CAGGATCACCTGGGCATCAGAAAGCCTCAACTGCCTTGCAGCAAAAAGCACATTAAAAGCCTTTCCTTCTACTCCACAGGGCACATTTCGCGCTACTTCATCATAGTTAACTACATTGACTCTGAAGCCATGATTCAAGAAAAGGTTTTCCATCCATCTTTCAATAGCAAGCTGTAGGTGCAAAAGGTTTATCGCCAAAAAAGTGATAGCAAAAAAAGATGCAAATCTGAAAATATATAACCAAATGTTTATTTATGTGCTAGCCTTGCCTTATTATCAAGTTCGGTGCCGAGCAACCGACCAGGAAATTCACCAACGAAAAGGGAGTCTTTTATGGCTAAACAGCTGACTGTAGATAAGATATCCTCAAAGTCAGCCAATGAGGTGAGTGGCAGCCCCTGCACTAAAACCAACACTCAAAAGTTTGCTCCGATATATATAACACTTTTCCTAAATAAAGCTACAAAAACACATTTAGAATAATGAGTAGGTTTTGAGAATTTAGCTTAATAATTTTATTGATATGAAAGGGGTTATAAATATAGGTTACATGAAATTTAAAATAGGAAAGACATAACACTCATATCTCCAAGATTACAATTAATCAGTTCCTGATAACTACCAAAAAATAAAAAGAAATACATAAAATAAGAAATAACCAGGAAAGAAATATATAACTTCTGACATAGAATAGGAAAAAACCGGAAAGCAAATAACATTCCTCCTCAAGTTGAAACATAGATGTTAATCATGTTCAATTTGGATTTGAAATCATCAAACAACGGACAAGGGAAACCCTTTGTGAGGCAGAACTTGAAGTCTTTATCCCCAAGAGCATTTAGGGATACTTCTAGCTGACTATGATTGTCTTCGACTACAGTTTCTGCGGTTTCTGTAGGTAAGCGAAAGACTTCTAAAGGTAATGATGCGGGGAAGTTTGTTGGGAAATAAAAAGCCTACAGGAAAAACTGTAGGGTATGGCTTGCAGGAAAAAAATGAAAAAAAGAAAGAGCACTTGCAGGGAAAGATACAGGGTTTGACCTGCAGATAAAAAAAAGAACAAACACCTGCAGGGAAAGCTGCAAGGTATGGCCTACACGTAAAAAAAAAACACCTGCAGGGAAAGTTGCAGGATATGACTTGCAGATAAAAAGGAAGAACACTTAAGTGAAGAACACTTAGAGGGAAAGAACAGTCTGCCAGAGGATGGCCTGCTGCAGAGAAAAGCTTCACAGTAGGGCCTTCTGCAGAAAAAAGCTTCAGAGAGTGGTCTATTATGGGAAAAAAGCTTTGGAGAAGGGTCTGCTACGACAAAAAACTTCGGAGGAGGGCCTACTGCGAGTAAAAACTCCAAATGAAGGCCTGTTATGGGAAAAATCTCCGTAAGAAGGGCTTGTTGGGGAAAAAATGTTCCGGAGGAGGGTTTGTTGTGAGGAAAATTTTGGAGGAGGCTCTGCAGCAGGGAGAATTCTAGAGGAGGGACTGCTGCAAGGAGAACTTCCGAGGACCTACTGCAGAGAGAATTTTGTAGGAGGGCTTGCTTTAGGAAAACACTTCGGAGGATAGTTCTACTGCATATGCTTCAAGCTTTAAAGGCTTGGCAATTTGGTCACTATGTAATGTCCATATTTTTACAGCTCCATCAAAACAAGCAGTCACAACATTAACATTCTCCAAGAACTTGAGATCCCAAACACAGCCAGGGTGCTCGATGCTTTGAATGCATATGCCATCTTTCCATATCTTGAAGAGGTAGTCTTCAGCACTTACAACAAGCCCAGATGAATGTGCTTCCATGCAATACAACAGAGATGAATGGCCCAATATCTCCATCAAAACTTCTCCAGTTAAAGCTCAGAGCCTCACAGAGGAATCATGTAACGCAGAAAGGATTACCAAATCTGGAAGAACAGCTAAATCTCAAACAACATCTGTATGACCCCCAAAAGTATGCTGGCAGTTCTTTCCTTTCCAAAGCTTAATGGTTGAATCAGTGGAACTAGTAACAAGATCACCAAATGCTAGCTTCATTACTACTTGAAGGGCCACCTTATGATGTTCCCAGAGTTAATGTTCAACCTTTCTTCCACTGCCGAATCATGCAGTCAATTGATGATGAAATAATGTCCCCATTATCATCCACTAAAAGCCTTGTGACCTGAAGCCTATGGCCATTCATAGTTTCCACAACCACGCCCGTACACAAATCCCAAAGCAAAACGAGTGCGTCCATTCCACCGGACTCGATCCTACCATCTGGGAACCGCTCACTAGGAGGTATCCATGCAATGGGGCCAACAAAGCTTGAGGGCCCAGCGAGAGTCTTACAAAGCACATATCTATGCTTCTTCTCGGGATTCAGGGCCCAGTACCTCATTGTCCTATCCCTCGACAAAGTGACGATTCCAAAGCCATCGCAAACACAAATTCCTCGAACATCGTCTTCGTGTGCTCGAAGTTCACAACATAGGTTATGCTTGCAACCTTCGAACGCCATTGACAACCGAGAACAGAGTTTCAAGTTTAGTTATATGAGAATCTTGGATGGTAGATGATACTGAATCTTATGGGGAGGATATTACTAAAATCTGCTCCTCTTTTTCCTGTTGCACTTGATACCACCAAGCATAGAAATAAAAAAATCTGCAGCTATAGCTTTCTGAAGGAAGTCGGTAGGGAAATGCATCTCCACAAAGGAAGACTGCAGGAAGGGACCACTAAGAAAGATTGCAATAAGGGTTCACATTACAGCCCTGTAAGGAATTTCCGACCTACAGGAAAGGTCTGGGAAGAGCTCCGATGCTAACAACTACACAAAGAGGAGTACCAGCGGCTAAAGACCAATAAGGAGAGGAGTTCCGGTGGCTAGGACTAGTAGGGAGAACGATTGCTTGTTGCAAGGAATAAGAAATTTCGGACAACAGGAGATCTCCTCTACCGTAGACACTAGGATTTGTTTCAAGGCTCTGATACCATATAGGTTTTGAGAAATCAACAAAATAATTTTATTGATATGAAGAGAGATATAAATACAAGTTACATGAATTCTAAAATAAGAAAGACAAAACACTCATATCTCCAAGATTATAATTAATCAATTCCTAATATCTGCCCTGAGATAAAAGAAAAGAAAACAAATAAGAAAAACAAAAAAATAGAAATGATTAAGTAGGAAATAAATAACTTCTAATATAAAATAGGAAATAACCGAAAAAGAATCTAAGAAAAAATAAGAAATAACCGGAAAGGAAATAAATCAATACTAATAGCTTCTAACACAATAAAATATTGAGATAAGACCTCTTTAGTGGCCTCAACTTTGATGAATTTATTAAGAAAGACAATTGCAAAACGAGATGCAGAGGATAGAGTTGTAAAGCCATGCGAGGGGATTTGATTGGGCTCAATCATATACACAAGTGTATGAGTGTTTTGTGCTAACCGACCACGAGTGAAGCAACAACACAAAATCATCTTCAATCTTTATGTTGCCCTAGCATTCACATAGGTTGCAATGGGCTTGCTCGACCGAACACGAGGGGGCTATCTAAAAGCATATTTGTAGATTTTTTGTTTAAAGATAAAACTCTAATCCAAATCTATCTTACTAACCTTAGAAGTATTTGTCGAATTGATATTTAAATGCAAAATAAATTTCAATTTCAATGTGTTTATTTAGAGATTTCAGATTAATTTTAATATATCAAAAAGAATATGTTTGTGGGAAAATACTCAAATTAGAAACTATTATGAAGGAACAATTAAATAAAAGATCGAAGCATATAAATGTTTGTAAATTGTTATACGATTGAGTTAATTCTAACAAGTATAATAATTTGTGATAATTATGTTGTCAAAATATACATAATTTAAACTTAAATGTTTTTATATATCATTCTATAACATAAAAAATAATTTATTATTATATTATTTTTATTTTCAAATCCTCTTATGAGTTATGATTGTTATAATTATGTCACACAGAAGAAAATTAATCAGGTCAACGTAAATAAAAATAAAAATAAAAATAATAAAAGTTTAGAGTACATCAATTATAATAAAAAAGATTAAAATTTGGAATAATTAGACATAATTATGAGACAACAATTTCTAGATTTGAATTAAATTAAATGTTAATCTATTCGATGAAAGAGTAATTTAATTATAACTTAGTTAGATTAAAGATATGTCAAGATGATTAATGAATTTATTTAATTGTATCCTCATATGTTAGATATGGATTTGTCGATTCTAGCTTAATTAGTATCGAAGTAAGCATAAGTTATTAAAAATACTTAGCTCATCTTGCGAGAATCAATGCTTCAAAGTGAATTAAATGTGAGTAACTATATTACAAAATTATAGTATTATTTTTTTACTTTTGAATATGATGCGGGGACTAGGGTTGAACTGACCAACAGTTCGGCAAGGGGGTTGCCGGTTCAGCCTCCGGTCGGCCCTAATTAGGGCTGGGAGCTGCCACCGCCTACCCCATCTTAGTTATCTTCTTTAACAATACACATGTTGTTTATTGTGTTAGGATTTAGTTTTTTGTGTTGGAGAATTCTGTCCAGCTTTTTGTCAGTGGGTGTTTTCCCCTCTAGAATTGTATTCGAAGGTGAGAAGGTTCTCTGACTATAACTTGTCTGAGGTGGTGACCGTATCTAAAGGTTCAAGCGGTGCTCTAGTTGTAGCTCAGTCCCGCGAGGATATTTATCCTTCCCAACTCCCCTCCACAACCTCCCCTGCCCTTCCTGCTAATCACCAACCCTTCCTTGGCCTCCCTGTCATGTCACCCTTCCTCCCTTGCAGCGACACTCTCCCCTACACCCTACTGCTCCAACCAGTGATTCCATCTGTAGCAAATCCTGCCATCGCTAGTCCATCCCACCATCTTCTTGTTGTCCACAACCACTTCTAGCTGCTAACCACACAAACCCCACAAACCATACCCCCAAACCTGCTCCCGTGCTAAACCGCACAGCCTCAGAATGCTGAATCACACCGCCTTTCCCTTTTCTGCCTCAATCACAAACCCAACTACCCTCTTCTAACCCAATACCACCTCTAGTAGCCACCTCTCACGATTATCCACCGGTTGTCCCGCCTAGCCTTATCCGGAGAATCAGGTTGTGTTGTATTTTCTTTCCTGATTTTTGAATATTGATTGTAACCCGTTTGAATTTCACCAATAATATTTACATTTTGATTGTGTTTTGGGTTAACACTGGTATCAAAATATATTTTTTCTTTCAATTTATGCTTTATACTAATGAGATTTAAACTATAACTATTCTTTAGATGGTTATGCTTGGAATATGCATATTAACATTTTTTCTCTAATAATTGCACAATAATTTTTCCTAGAAATACATTAAATTATTAAATGACTTTTAGATTATGTTAGAAAAACATTTATTTGGTAGATAAATATAAAGTGTCTAAGCAAAAAATGTATGCTAGGAATAATGAAATGAAAATATTGTATATTTATATGTTAGTAAGAGAAAAAATTCACTCCCTTATAATACTTATTAAGGACAACAATGCACCGACGTGCATATAAACTTATTGTATCATCTCAAATAATAGTGAATTTTAGATCAAGCATCATTGTTCTTACGAGAATATATTGGCCAAGGGTGAGTAGGTATATTTTCACCTCAGACAATAATAGATTTGTTTTACGCCCTGATGTGTCAAAGAGAGAACATCAACCAAAACTGTGTTACGTTATATTCAGATTGTGCTCCTAATATTTAAGTTTAAGTTTAAGATTGAGAAGATGAAACAAAAATTAATTGCGAATATCATTAATATTTTTAGATTATTATAAGATTCTTATAACATAATAGGAAACCTTAGCATATATATATATATATATATATAATTTTATTTTCATTAAGTTATTATAGTTTAGATGTGTAATTATTCCACTGAGTTAGTTTTGATAATTCATTATACTGTTATTTAGTTTTTTTTTCGGTATAAGTGAAAGAAGAGAGCTGTGTATCGTAAATGAGGCAATAATAAAGCAGGATTTGTTATTTTAAAATAGTTTTGATTATAACATTTTTATGGCTATTTCATTATTATCATATATAGAATTAGTAATAAAATTTGAATTTCAAAGTATAACGGTTAGTTTCCACTTTAGAAATTCCAAGCCCCCTACTCAGGTTGTGACACAAAATGTAGCCCAACCAAATCCATTATTATGCATCAAGCTTTCGATCTTTCACAGCATAGAGAACTTCACATAAACACAAGCTCAATCTAAGCATCATAAAAAAATAGCACACAATGACTTCTTATAAAATCAAGAAACCTAAGTCAAGCACATTTACCACTCACACCAATTCAGCCTCCTACTAATCAAGTTCAAACCGGCAGAAAACTTGCTTGCTCAGATTGTCGCAAAATATAAACTCTTCCTATAATCATCCAATGGATCTGATATAGCCATTTATATCAGGTTTAAAGCTCTCAAAGATAATCAACTAGGTTCACCTGTAAACCCGAAAAAACTATGAAATCTTAATGAGGTTTGCTTCTATCATCTAAACCAAGTAAATTTACTCAATTTAAATCTCAAATTAAGCCTGAGAAATCTCCTTTATCAAGAGTGCTCTACACCCAAAGAGAAGATTAATTAAATGCGAGGTTCCAGCAAAAGTCTCAACCAATATCAAAATAAAAACGCTAATGTCGTTGTTAAGAAGAATCTGGTTTAAGAAAATCCTAATCTACCTATAAAAAAGACTACTCCTGATTCATCTCTTACGCATTGAAGGAGACTTGAGCATAAGGGATTTGCTTTTCTTGGCCTATCCAACAAAAAGGATAAAATAGTTCATCCAATATAAAACACTACTTTTGGAAATAATAAGAGTTGAGCAATGCTTAAAACATAAAATAAAGATATAAATTCAAGTTCTTACTAGGATAAAATAAATAAATGCAAATGAATTGTGTTAACAGTAGAAATATATATACCAAAAGAGGGATAGGAAAAAAATTTTGATCAATATAGGTCTCAAAGCCATAGATTTGCTTTGAGGTGAGTGCAATGTATTGATAATCGATCAAAATTATATTACACTTGTCTCAAATTAAATCTAAAAATTTTGAAACTCACCCTAACAAAATTTTGGTTAAAATATCCTGACTATATACATTTCATAAAAATATTGTTCGGCAACATATTCCTAAAATCAAGTAAAAATAGATTAAAAAAAAAAAGCAGAGCCTTGAGTTATTGCACCTGGATAACCCATAAGCTCGGTTTATAACCACTAAATCCTTTTCTTAACAGAAGAGTCTGCAAATCGGATGACTCTAGAGAAGCGTGGAGCATCATGCAAGTTTTAGAAACCTTAGCTCCACTAACTACATAATGTAGCAAGAAAGAGAAAAAAAGAGAGTAATATTAGAAAGAGAAAATGCAATTAGCTATTGCAACGAACCAACCACATATTAATCATATATTATTTCATAACATAAATTGCAAGCAAGAAAAACATTATATTTGAAACATTAAGGTGATGCTACATATATCTGATTGCTGCATATTCTAACAGAAAAAAAAAGGTTTCATAAAATAAATTCAAAGGATATCAATGATAATTATTTATTTTGGCATGTGTAAGTATAAGTGATGTTGTCTGGCATATGTTGACCGATTATGATCAGGAAATATAAATTATTTTATTATTTGTAATAATTAATAATTAATTGTTCAGTTTATTGTCATCTATGAATTTTCATGGGGCTATTATGTAAGTAAACTGTTGAAGGTAATTGAACTTCCAATTGTAAGGAAATTTGAAAAGAAAGTCCGTTACACCAAGTAATAACTAAATTTGTGATGAATTGAATGCAAACATCCACTGGGTAACATTTTTTTTCTTCCTGATTCCTTTTTATATTTTGAAGAGAATAACAAAACTTTCTTAAATATTTTGTTAGACCGGCATCTAGTTGTACCGTCAAATAATTTGAAAATGTATGTTATTTGCAAGACTAAAAAAGCAATTTAGTCATTTGTTAGTTATTATTGTGGGGTATAAATAGGGCATAATGTGTTTAGGGTTATGTTATGTGTGATTTTTGTAATGAATCTAAGGGTTAGGGTTTGAGAGAAATCGCGTTCCTCTTGAATTATATGTGTTTATCTTTTATGTATTTGAGATTATATCATATTGATTTGGTGTTGGCGGAATAGAATCTATTATTTCTACCATAATTCCTAAAAAAACTTGTCTAATTCCTATCAAATTGGTATCAAAGTATTAGAGTTGTTGCTCCACGAGAAATCTTTATTGTTGCATTTGAGGTCGCTACTCCTCCCCGTATCGTTTTGAAATTGTCGTTGTGTCGCCTTTGTGACCGAACCTCACAATACAGTTGTAATTCGAGCTAGCTAGGAAGTCAACAACAGGATCGTGGGTCACAGTTGTGATGGAACCTTGCGATACAATCGTGATTCGAGCTAGTTAGGAAGCCAATGGCGGGATTGCCGATTGCCTTCATGACCGAACCTCATTATACAGTCGCGATTCAAGTTAGTTGAGAAGCCTGCAACGTCGCCTTGATCACTGAACCTCGCGATACAGTCATGATTCGAGCTATCTGAGAAGCTAATGACGGGATAGCAAAATACAAGAGTTCCGCCTTTGTGATCAAAACCGTTTTGAAAGTAACAGCGGCTAAGAAAGTAGATGCTCTAAAAGAAAAATTGGAGAGAGAGAGAGAGAAGCAAAAACAAATCGGTAATGGGGGAGTGTTTCACATTCATGGAGGGGCAGTTCTTGTCCATGGAGGGAAGATTCACCGCCTTCGAAGAACTGATGAAGAAGATCGCATGGTTTCATACAAAACTACCATGCCACTAGAGGAACCAAGCAACGATGTCGAGTGCGAACACGAGAGGTAGCAATCAGAGTTGTTGTCTTAAGCGGATTATAAGACACAGAGCGAAGAAATTAGGAGCGTATTCGAGTGGCAGAAACATGAGAGTATCACGGCAGCAACTTGAGTGTATCGCAAGACATCTGGAGGTTTGGAATGAGCGGCAGCAGAATGAATGGGAAGATGTGCGAATTGGGAGAGGAGAAGATCGATTCAAAGGATTTTAACCTAGAACAATGAACCACGGTGTGTGAAACTATGATCGAGAGCTGCATCCAATCGAGCCAGTGTCTTTTAATGCGGCAGGCTTCCAGGCAAAGGGAGATTAAAAAGCCTATGAGAATGGGTGAGTTGGTCATGGGCTATGAAGCACAGACACGGAAACAGGGACACAAACATGGCACGCCACAATACGGAGACACGACATATATAATAAGTACATAAAACGATACTTCATGGACACATTTTTATATTTAATTAATTATTAATATGAAATATATACTTTTCATTATTCTTTATTAAAAATATTATAATTCAAATTATGCAAGAATAAAATCTAACTTTAAAATTTTAATTTACATTATAAAACCTCACGCTTATAAAAATTAATTTTTAAAATTAGATATAATATATTTCAAAACAATTCATCCAACTTATCTACTAAAATTTAAAAAATATCATGACTAAAAAGAGAATTACTAAAGCTCGGCGTCGGCGAATATTATATGCATATTTGATGCTCAATTTTGACGAATGTTAGAGGGAATTTCAACATGACGAGAGATGGGGTGGTTTTGATTATGAGGTATAGTGAAGGCTACTCGTATATTTATAATTTTCAAATCCTCGTGTCTCATTTTCTCGAAATCGTGTTAAGCTCACAATCGATGAGGTGTTGAGGTGTGTCTCGAACGTGTTCAGATCTGAAAAAAATTCAAACATATATTTCATAGTGGTGAAGTGTCAAAGAAATGTCAGGGCGTGTTGGACAAGTGTCGAATCCGACACGTGTTTGACATGGGCACGACATATTTTTAGAAGTGTTGGCACTACATAAATCATGGGGCAAGCTAGAATTATGGAATAAGACAAATCAATATGAGTCAAGGAAGACGACCCAACCCTCGCTTCATAAGTGGAGCATACTTGGAACAAAAAAATTGGGGAGAAGGCTCACACATAAGAACACTGCAGATGCCTATCTTTGAAGCAGATGATACCTACGGCTGGGTTTATCACATGGAGAGATTCTTTGTTGTTAATGGGTTGGTGGAGAAAGAAAAATTAATGGTGGTGGCACTTGATTGGAAGGGAAGACTCTAGCATGGTATCAACCCAAGGTATTCTAGTCCAGTAGGAGGCTGGTGTTGACCTCATTTTTGTGAGGTCTTCTTTTCTCCTCCTTAGAGCCTAGGATCTAGTTCTAGAAGTTCCTATTGACCGTCCTAGAAAACTAGAATTGAGACTCACCCTTTTAGAAAATTCTAGTCAATTCCTATTTTCCTTTGATGTCTAGCATCTTTGGCACAAGACCATCGTCTTACGAAAGAGCGGCTATGGGCTATTTTGTGAAGACTCAGGGGAAAAGTTCCCAATAGGACCTCAAAGCCTTAGGAAAACATTCGTCATGACTTTTTCGTCACATACACACATCAAATACACAAAATTCAGAAATTGCACGAAATCGGACTTCAATTAAGCCTAAAGGACGAGTGAAAATGCGAACTTCTTCGGATGACCTCCGACGACAAATTGGACTGCGCCAACGCGTCCGAGATACCAATTTTGGTAGGAAATGACACTCATATTGCTATACTTTCGACATGAGAAAATTGGCACGCAAATCGGTGAATTCGTCAAAATGACCTCCAACGGCAAAATAAACTGTACCAGAGCGTTCGGAATGTCGAAATTACCTAGGGAGGACACCTATTTTGTTGGGCGCCGCACATGGATAAATCGCATGAAATTTGATATATATATATATATATATGT